TGCTTAGCGCGCAAAGAATTAGCTATATTAGCTATAAATGCTATCTAAGGGGAAAATCCTTGCGCATATAGCTTAAGTATAGTCTTAATAATTACCTACTTGTTTTTATTGCGTAGCCTCTATAAGTTAGCTGTAGAATTAGCTTATAAAGGTTGTCTAGCGCTATAGTTATTTGTTGTTATTTATAAAACTTTATATGTAGCTATAGCACATTTCTTTAAAAGTTTTATGTCTTGTTTAAAAGCTTAAAGCATAAACTATATTTTACATTCTTTTAGCGCGTCTAAGTAGTGTTGTTAGGAATGCATTAGTGTAGAAAGAGTAGTTTAGTAGAGTCTTAGCAAAAGTAAGCAACTTAGGTGTGTAAGCAACTTGCCTGTGAAGTACGTTAATTAACTAAGGGATACTAGAGTTTCTAATAACTTATGTATCTTTAAATGCCTTATACTATATATTCTTTTTTTTTTTTTACATCTGTAGTAAGATTGTTTCCCTAGCTTTTTATACAGCTATTAGAGGTAAACTATAACAAGAACACCCTCTATACTCTAGAACTAGGGCATTAGACTGTACACCTAACGCTCTTTATGCCATCACCTTCCTGCACCACCTACGCCTCTCCCTGTCCTGTGTACTAGCAGCAGCACCTAGAGTGCCTCTGTAGAAGTAGCAGTTATAACATTAATTACGAACTCTTATAAAGTATAAACTCTTTACAACCCCTTACTAGCAATTTTATTAATAATAGGCACACTCTTATTAAGAAATATAAAAGCACTAATAGAAAACAAGCTAGAACGTACTAAGCAAGTTATAAACCTCAAGTTAAGTTAAGCACTCTATACTATAAATTAAATAAGTAAGTACTGCAGTAAAGAACATGCTATGTCTAGCTTTACTAAACTCGATTATAGGCAGCTTAAGAGATGTAAGAGCCTTCTTTACCTGTTGCTAGCTCTATATAAATTATAATAAGGGCGATTTTTAAAAGGATAAGGAGATAGTCTTGTAAATAGGCTTACACTTAGATTGTAACAGCACAGGCAAGACAATGGGTCCGAATGCGGTAGGAGTCCACTCAGAGGCACATGGGAGTGCGTGGGGACTTAATAACCTGGGAATTCCAATTAACACCTATAGGCCTTGTACGAAAGGATATTAGAAAACTACTAAGCTAGCTACAGAGGAGGTACAACTAAATACATAAGGGAATAGGGGTAACAGCAGGGGGTCGGGCAGAGTCAGGGCCAGGTCGAGGTCGGGGCCGATACGAGGGCCTTCCGGAGGTTCCGGGCGACCCGAGATGGAACGATTCATGAGAATCGTTACAGCTTACACTTAGATAGACCCTTAGCTATATAGTTTTAACTTTATGCTAATAGCTAGGATTACTACTAGAGAATAAGAAAAAAGCTTAGAAAAAAATAAGAAAAATATTTAAAAGTATTTATATCTTTAAAAAAGCCTTTTTAATAATTTACAGCTTAGTAAATAAAGAAGCTATTACTGCTAATAAAATACACAACCTTAAATAAGAAAAAAGCACTGTTTAACTGTACACAGCCTGTTTTAGAGAACAGTAAGCTATTTATAGATAGACAGACTAGAAGTCCCTCTACTAAATATTCTATAAAGGACTGTAAGATTAGATTAAGAATAAATTTACTTATATATAAGAACTAAATAAGCTTAAAAAATTTATTAAGACAGCTATCTTTTTTCATAACTACTATTATAAACAGGATCTTAAGAAGAAAAGAGGAGACGTAGGATAAATAAAGCCTTATATCTACCTTTTAATAAGAAAGAGCTAGAACATCTTAGAAGAAAAGCAAATCTAAATTATAAAAAAGTAGGCTACTTCTGTTAGAAGTGCCTAGACTCTTAGCAGAGGGAGAATAAATATACTAGATTAGAGATAAAAGCCTGTAATACAGAAACAGGTCTGTTCTTTACTAACATTAAAGACTAAGTAGACTAAGGCCTTTCCTAGAGATGCAAAGGCAACTATAAACTAGAGCATTGCCCTAGAACGTACTAGGAGGTTAAGGTTTAAGACAACTGCAAAGTACAACAGGCGCTGCAGCAAGCTGCTATACATAATGGATAGCGCAAACTATCCTAGGTTAAGGGATATGTAAAAAATGTTATAAAAAAAGAAGAACATTGTCCCCTTAGCACTAAAGAGAACAGAATACTACTTAAATAACTTACAAGCAAGGCAACCAATCCCTTTTCATAAAGTTGCTGCAATCTTGCTTCTAGGAAAAGACGGAGTCGATGCGGACCCGGGCGTCCTCGGAACGAAGCTACGATCTCAGGCATCCCACAAGACGTAGATCGAGGCAAATGCGCTTTCTAGGCTTGTATTGCGGGAGAGAAGAAACACAACTCCAACTTATTTAAGTAGTGGCACAAGAATCAGCGAAGGGTAGTGTTGTAAATTGAATCCGAAAACTATGACAGTTCGCCTCAGGCGGCAACGATAAACAAGTGTAGATAGTGGGATAGCAAACAGCGAGAGTACACAATTCCCTCAACAAATGCAATTCGACAAGACTTTGGTAGAATCCAATGCTCCTTCAAACAACGATTGCACCAGTGGAATATTTTCGGACCAGCACCGCGCGTAGTTTTCCATGCATTTTCCAGGGATTCTCCCGGCGCGATCATTACGCTGAAGAGACCTAGCTGTAGTACCCGGCACCACTGCTCAGAGGTGATTGTGTGCGCGCGGGCCACAGCATACTGACATCATTGGTGGCCGCCTGAACATCGGGGCCGTGGAACGCACTCGCAAGCAGGGCCAGCTGGTCGACTATCCAGTTCCTGCAGCCCACACCTTGGGCATTGAACTCATATTTATCGCGGCCGGCACCGACTATTGTGTCGACAATCCATCCAACAGTAATTGGTGTTTGAAGCCTGAGCTCGTTTTGGTGCTCCACACTGTTGGAGAGACTTTTATACGGTAAATGAGAGATGACGATGTTGGCCTTGGAGCCGCCATTATTCGGCCCGGGCAAACCACTCGGCGTGACATCGATGCGAATCCAGTCATTAGTCGTACTTTGGATGTAAAAGGCCCAATGGTTGGTTCGTTTGGCTCCGGTAGTATGCTGGGATTCTACCTTGTGAGCCGCTGCATAGAATCTTGAGACCGTTAAGCCCCTAATTGCGGCCTCGCTCGCTGCGGGAATGAAGCGAACAGGCTTGAACGCTGGGACATGAATGTTTGCCCATATACTAGGTTGGGGTGTAGTCATTTTGATGAGGCTAAACATAATCTTAGCGCGTTGATTGTTCCATTTTCCCGATGCCAATGCCATAATGCCGGAAAAATATTTAAGTAAAGTCATATCTAATGGTAAGGACTGACCTGAATGTTTGAAGATCGAGGACAAAGTTTTGGTGACTGTAATGTGTTAAGGGAACTTGGAAGAGTTGAAGAGCTAAGGAGGGATTGATAAAAGAAGTCGGCACTTTCAAACTCCGGAAGGTTGCAGAAAGGTGTCTGTCTGATTGTCCGAATCTGTGGGCCTTTTAAACCTTTAAATATGTCGACTGAAGATTAATGAGAGGTTATGTTAATGTGGTAGGTCTGCGCCTGCTATTCGTTCGGCCATTGACAACCACGTAGAGTTGCTCGCATTGCGCGCGGCTAACAGACTGAGGCACTGCCGCCGCACTACTGTCATTTTAATAGATTTCAAGTTGTAGATGGCTACGCCACAGCAAGACCAGTCAATGTGTTAGGTTGGCCGATCCAAGTGTCGTGTCCTGATTGCCTACTGTGTGTTACGATACTTACCTCACGGCCTTGCCGCTTGGTACTCGGGCCGGTTGAAGGTGACTGCCGCGACAGTCTCTGACGAGTAAGAAGGATCGGCTGGGGCTCACGGGTGTACAGTCCGTGGCTCCTGCGCAAACCTGGGGCATTTGAACGAATTTCCCCGCCACCCCTCACCAATTTCGAACTGAAAGTCGTCCATATCAACGCTCCATGCCAGAGGGCCGTAAGATCGTACGCTTTGAGGTCCTTCCTGTTACTCCACAAGGGCCACAGAAGAAGCGTCCAGCGCCTACTCCGTACAAGTAGCCCAAATCCATTTGTTACCAAGAGACTTGCTGTTAGCGTTGGACTGGGAGTCTAGATTAGAAGGCGGAGGCAGAGGCGGCTCGACTGCGGCGGCTCAAAGGCCAGCGTGAGCGTATGACTACGGGTGAGGACGATGTAGTAGAGGTGCAGGACGACACTGAGGATGAAGATGAGTAAGTGTTACATTACTGTCGGCTCCCACCTTGACCGCCTTTCCGGAACGGGAATACTGCTAGGCTCTGCCGCCTAGGCCTCGGGGGCTAACCGCCCGTAAGTTTGGCGGGTACCCCGCCGTTGTTATGGGCAGTCTAGGGCGCGTGGGCGCCCAAAGTTGGTTGCTCGGGTGACAAGCCGCCCCGGAATGCCGCCCGAAGCCCCCGTAAGATTAGGGCGTTTTTTCTTCCGGCAGAATCCGGAATCTATCCCGATCCGGAAAGGCGGTCAAGGTGGGGGCCGACAGACTTTTGCTAGGTACCTCCGTACGGAGTAGACGCGCAGGATTTAAAAACCTTGGCGACCTCAACGCCCCGCCACCAACGCTGGAAACGCCACCTAACACCCGACGCCATATCGTCGCTATACCTGTGACTGTGCTCGTGTTCTGGCTTCTTCTAGCGCCGTCACGCAAGGCTGATCAGCATCGAGTCTGCCTGCCTATGTCAATCCTCATAAATACCCCGATGCTCCAGGTTTCGGCTCTTCAAACCGCGGACAAAAGTACCTAGGATGAATCAAATAAACAAGAATCCCTACAACCGTGCTAACCGCGCGGGCAGCTTCTGCACCCCTACATTCGATGCAAGTGTCGCGAGCTCACTCACTACTAGAGTACAGCTGATAATCGTTGCAGGCCCAGAGTAGGGCGTCAGAAGCCATTTTTCCTCTCGATGGATGCGACATAGCAACAGTATCCAATGAGAGATTGATTCGACTATTTGATAATGCGCCAAAACTGCATCAACTAGGATGTACATCGGTCGTGCGACTTTCACAAACTCTGGTCATGAAAAGTGGATCCAGTGTCCTGCCGTCCGAGGCAAAAAATATGAATTATGCCGCCCAGCTAGGGGGGATGCGTCTTCCCAAGGTCTACGGTAGCTTCAACAGCTCGAATCCGACCGCAGGCATATCACAAACGCGAGGTTACATTGTGATGGACTATGTGAAGGGTTCCTGCCTTGCAGACTTGTGGCCAAACATGAACCTGCAACAACGCCAAACCGTAATCACTCAGGTTGCGGTAATGATACGGAAGATGCAGTCTACTCCGCTCGATTTCGCTGGCCCTGTGGGTGGAGGCATGTCCCAGGGCCTGTTTTTTACCGATTGGGGCGCTGGACCTTTTGAGAATGGCCGCGCGATGGAGGACTGGTTCAACCACAAGCTGCATGTATGCAAGGCGTTCAAACGAGTACCATTAAACGCAGCACCCTTCGAGTTTTCTACCTTCGTGTTTACCCACGGGGATATCTCGCCGCGGAATATTATTCTGGACGGCCAGGGCCTTGTCTGGTTGATTGACTGGCAAAATGCGGGGTCTTATCCACCTCAGTTTGAAGCTGCAGTTATAGCAGACCAATCCGACTTTAAGGACTTCGGGGAGATGTTGTTGAAGCATATAGAGCATGATGAAGCGAAAGTCAGGCAGTTAAGAAGTGTTTGGTATGCCTTGACTACAGGGGCTTTCCTATAGACTCTAGAATTGCTTATAGTTACTTAGTTGAGTAGAAAATATTATCTAAACCTTTCCATTTTGCCTAGAAATGCCCTATACTTAACCTAGACCACGTATCTATATTTGTTTGTATATCCTCTAATATATGGTACAATTTAAGCGCGTCACACATCACAGATGGGGGTCGCGAAAGTCAACAACGTACAGGTCAGGTGGAATATCGCAGCCATATCTTCAAACTGAAATTAGGGACAGAAATCCCGAATTGAGACATGTTATCCTTCGTGGAATGCACATAGCAGATGTGCCATATCCTGTTCGCTCTTTGTCCAAGGGCGCTCGGTGATCTGTAATTCATACTCATTGTTCTGCTCATCCACCTGTTCGGAAATATTTTGAAAGACATGTCTTCTCCGCAATATAGGGAGACTAGGAAATCAGGATCATACCGTTCGATGAGCTTGAAAGGAGAAAAGAGATGGGTGGTTAGGGCTGTGGATCTGTGGTCCAAAATATCCCATGAGAAGATGCCCTCCGTAATCAGGCGCGACGACGGTGTGATCGTAATTTTTGGAGCAGCCAGGGCGGGTGCGTTTAGAAGTGGCTGCACAACATGATAGATGTCAAATGATGCAAAATTTCGATGTATTCACAATATAAGAGCCGCTCGAATTGAAAGTACCTATGATTTAGCTCGCCACGGAGGGTAGCTCGCGACACAGGGACGGATGTTAGAGAGTAATGATCCATGGGAGGACTGGCTGCAATAAATAATTTCCATAGGAGGGGTCCGAGTTCTTTGGAAACACTATGTCTTTAAGAAATCCCTCCATATCCGCCTTAGTGCACCCTCTTGCAAGCCTATCTAGGCTAGTAGAATATCCAGCTATTTCCTTAGATAACAGGCCAGGCGATTCCTATTTTGCCTGTAATTTCTCAACACGACTAGAGATACAATTAGGAAGTTAATCACTAGAATCTCGAATATGAATGTTGTTCGAGGTTAGGTTGTTCCGACGATAGGACGAATAGCGGACGCTAGTAGTGCTAGAAGCAGAATCCTCTATTGCCTAGTATAAACAGTGGGACCTGGCCGAAGCCGGCGTTAGCAGCACCGCAAATCTATTAGCGTCTTTTGTGTAACCTATCTTCAGCTCCGATCTTGTGAGCTATCGCGAAATGGGATTGCCGCTTAAATAGTATAGATGGCTATCCGACTGGCAGCGTTTCGCTATGTCTAATCTAATAGACTCGAGCCACTCGGAAACAAAGGTGTGGACGGATGTAGGACTAGGGCCTAGATAGATAGGGTCGACAAAGTCTTTAAGGAACAAAGCGTATAGATGCCTAGGAGGGTTAGGCTTTAGCTGTTGCAGAGTTGTCTACACAGGCTACCCTATTAGTTATGGACGTGTGTGGGCGACTATTGTTATACCTTGCTAGCCTACTCTACTTTCTTGTCCTTAACTCTAGGCTATTGTGTATCCGTCCGTGTCAATTGGGCTCTCTTTATAGGTAATAGATCGCTCTCTATCGTGTCGAGTTGCCTCTTCCAAGCCTACCCAGGTGTCGCGTCTCTAGCGGGCTCAGCTCTCTAGAGACTACTCTTAGTGGCTCCGCGGAAGCTCTATACCTAATATGTTAACAAGTCTTCCTAGTCTCTAGGGACATTGATATGCGCACCTCTAATGTTACCTGTAACAGCGTCTAGCAGTGTTTCTTACAAGGCCTTAGATAGTTGCACACAGGAGTGGTGGGTCCGCGCCTTAGAAACTCCGCTATTCATAGCGAGGAACGTGCTAACGCACGCTAGGGGGATAAGATTTCTATTAGCGCTTAGGCTAGCCAACAGGAAAGGCCTGCTGCGAGTGGCGAGGTCGTTTGTTTCGTTAAAAAGTAGTTATAAGAGTCGAGATGATTTGGGACTGAGCGACACGAAAATCCACTCCTTTAGGCATTAGGGCGTAGGGGCGGCTAACGACGGGGTTTATCTCAGCTAGCTCAGACGTGAGGAGAGAACCAAGGACGCACAAACCACCATGCATATTGCTACTCCAAATAGAGTATGGCCTGGGGGTTAGTGTAACGGCGCAGGCAAGACAATGGGTCCGAATGCGGTATGAATCCACTCAGAGGCATATGGGAGTGCGTGGGGACTCAGAGACCTAGGAATGCCAATGACACCTATAGGCCTTATACATAGGATATTAGAAAACTACTAAGCTAGCTACAGGGGCAAGGTGCGACTAAATACATAAGGGAATAGGGGTAACTGCAGAGGACAGGGTTAAGTTATGGTTAGGGCTAATACAGGGACCTATTAGATAGGTTCTAAACAACCTAAGATAGAACAATTTATAAGAATTATTACACTACCCCCTCTTTATAGGCTAATAGTCTTTATTTATAATGTATAGTAGATATTTAGAGCTAATTTAGAACTAATTTAGAATAAGATACAACAGAGTCTAACTTTATAATAAAAATTTTCTATTACTCTAAAAAAATATACTAAAAACCTAATACTTATATAATACTTTTATTATAATGTTTTTGTTTAGTAGTAACTAGTAGTGTAGTTATTATTAATATAGTAAATTTATTATTTATAGTAATAAGTGTTTACTTACTTTACTTATATAGTTTAGTTAATGTTGTTAATCTTTTTTTAGCTATTATTAAATTCTCTACTATGTAAGTATTATTATGCACCTAACATCTTATAGCTTAGTCTATTAACTAATATAGTGTTAAAGAAATTTACTATGCTGCTCTACCCCCCTTTTAGAGCCTCTTTAAAGGCCTTCTAAGTTATCTGCTTTTAAGCCGCTTATGCCTTTATTTATAGCTAGTAAGTTAAGTTTTCTTATTAGTCTTTTAAATTAAAAAAGTGTAAATATTACACTTTACATAATAAAAAATGTAATTTTATATAAATATAGTCTAATACTACTAAGGTATAAGTTACTAACACAAGTATAAGTTTTTTTATATTATAAGAAAAAGGTTTTAGTCTTATAAAGCTATCTTAAGCTATAAGCAGCAGCCTAAAACATAAGAAGTAAAGAGAATAAAAAAGTAGCTTTTAAAGCTATTTTAAAGTCTACTTAAAACCTAGCATAAGTAGCGCAGGTTATAAAGAGTTAGGAAGCTAGGCTTTCTGCAGCTAGTGTTTAGGTAGCCTTATTTTACTAGAATACTAAGCTGCTCTAACAGGTTTTAGCTCTAAAAGCTCTAGTGTCTAACCTTTAGGCAGACATTACAGCGCTCTTAGGCTGCTAAAGATAAGGTAAAAGGGTTTTAGAAGAAGTCTAGAAAGAGAGGAGAAAAAAAGAAAAGTAAGAAAGAAGAGTAGTATTAGAAGAAAAAGAAAAAGAGAAGAAGAAAAAAAGTCTAGAGGTGTCTAATAGTAAGCTGTTAAACCTTCTAAGTAATATGTCTATTAAGTTATAATAACATTTTATAACGTACCTAACAGGTTGGCCGGCTACCTTTGCTAAGCCCCTACTAAAACCACCCTATTCTCTTGCAAAACAGCCTACTTTAGCCCTATATAAAGTAATATAACATAAGATATTATTTAGAGTCTACTTCTACTACTTACTTATATATATGCAAGTTATACCTAGTCTAATTACACTGCCTGCATTGCCTTTAACTTAGCTTACCTCTTTTAGCGCGCACTTGCGTCTTTAGCTTCTTCCTATTACTACGCGCTCTAAACTCCTTTAGAGCAGTTAGACAAGCCTTATCCTTAACTATTAAGGTCTTTTTTACTTAAATCTGCTTTCTTTTATGCAATCTACATTACATAGCAGCTTTATTTACTGCTTAAAGCTTTATAATCTTATAGCTTACTTTATTATATTAATGCTTTAAATAACTATTATCTACTTTTTATTACTTTACTATATTACCTTTAGCTATTCTTATCTCTCTAAAGCTGTAACAACTACTCTAGTTAATATGTTTGCATTGGTGACACTCGGATGCGTCGTCACCATAGTCGCACGATAGTCGGATGTGTCGTCACACGATGATCATGCGTCGGCACCATAGTCGTATGCATCTCAGCACAGTCTCTTGCCACGACTCACCCACTTATTTCGCATATATATAGACTCCTGCATAGGACTCCTCTAGCAAGACAATACAATCCAGTTCCTCATGTCTCTGGTGCCTCACATAGCTTCACATAATATCTAGCCTATTATAAAGCCTAACTTATTAAAGTTATACCTATCTATATCCTAGATACTGTACTTAGCTTTTATGTTAGCTACTAGGCAAAACTAGCCCTAGATAACCTCTAGATCCTTATAAAGCGCTTTTTTATAATTATACTTATAATTAAACTTTATTGTAAACTTAGAGCAGTGCTTAACCTACATACTAGGCTAGTTTAAGCTAACCTGGCCTAGATTGCGCTCTATAGGCAAGGAATTAGCTATATTAGCTACAGCTGTAAGCCTAGAGGGAAATCTGCGTGTAATAAGCTTAAGTATGTACTTAATAACTACTTTCTTCTTAAGCTTAGTTAGATTCCTTAATTTAGGCTAGCATTCTGCTTATAAAGGCTGTCTAGCGCGTTAATTGCTTAGTGTTGTGTAAAAGACATTATAGATAGCTGCAGCGCGTTATAAGAAGAGTTTTAAGTTTTATTTAAAAGCCTAAAAAGCAAGCTGTATCTAATGTTCTGTAGAAGATTTAATCTAGTGTTGTTGTTAAGGCATTATGTAGATAGGTAGAGTTTAGTAGGGGCTTGGCAAAAGTGGCCAGCTAACCTGTGTAGCCGGCTAACCCGTTAGGTACGTTATAATTATAATATAACTTTTTACACTTATACTTTATTATTTACTAAGTAATCTATACTTTCTACACTAGCTTTAAAAGCCTTAATTTACTTTTATAAAGCCTTTAAAAGTCCTAGCTAATTTAGATGCTTTTTATAAAAAGCCTTTAATTTATAAAAAGAACTTATAAATTTTAAAGCTTTAACGTACCTAACGGGTTGGCCGGCCACACGGGTTGGCCGGCCACTTTTGCCAAGCCCCCACT